AAACATGGCGTCAGTGGTTAACATCATAGCCTTTCAAGGAACTTAAATTAATTCAACTTAAATTTGACTCAAACATCTTCGTTTTGCTTTATCCAATCGTTTTGTTGGAGAAACTTGAATACTCAACTATTCTAACGCTTGAAAACTCACCTAACTCGACCATCCTCTAATTGTCCCGTGACCAGTAACAATGTATCTCTTACCAGAGGAATTTTTATTACCTTAAACTGGCGCTTGAGCAAATCATAGGATGACGGAAAAAACTGACTTCATCGACTACACTTCTTTGTCGAGGTTCAGTGTCAGATCCGCCATGGTCGATGGTCAAAGATGGACAAGCATTCACTTCAAGCAGAATCGGAAATCCATCACTTCTCACCATGATGTCAAATCCAACGATCTTGAAAGAAAAATTTTGGTTTTGAAGGAAACTTTAAAAAAAGCCTTCACAAAATTACACATTACAAGCGAAGTTACAAGTATTCACTATAAATAGAAGAGGTAGTTTTGGACGATTCAGCAAGGTGTGGGCCGATTTGTAATACCGTATTGCTACAATAGCCTTTCCGTATAGGACCGCAGCCGCGCGACACGTATGCGCCTGCTTTTGCCCAAGACCGCTTGTAGTGCAAAACAAAATGCAACCACAAGCATTTACGAACTTTCTTTCCAAGAGTTACGGAAATTTTATGCCCAAAATGAGTTAGACATAAATCAATCTTTCGGCTTTTAAGCTTCCAGCAGCAAGTACCAAATCTAGAAATACGAGTAAATTTTGTACCTGGAAGCACTGCGGCCCTTCCATTCCACTAAAGGTCCTTTCATACTGTATCATAAGTTCCGGTAACATTGCGAGTACGGTCTTGACCACTATGAGCTTCACATCATGCCATAGTTTCTTCGCTCGAATCCCACATGCGGTCATTTGCGAGAAAACAGTCGAAAGAAGGCGCTTTGAACCTTGAAAAGCTTTTATCTGGTTGTGATATAGACAACTGGTTCTAATCTGTACCAGTCACTTGATCATGCAAAGTGTTGGAGTGAACATAAGCGTCATTAACTTTGTTCAAAGAATAATTCGTCAGGTGTGCGTATAAATTCCCGAAA